AACACATTACATATTTAACAGTTCCAAGTATTGTTGGGTAAGAGAAACTATTTATGGAAATTGGAAGTTCAGGAATGTCAGAAGCATTAATTCCTTACCTATCCATGTCATCCTCAAGGTCATCAAGTTGTTCAAGTTCATCTAGCCTTGACAATAGATCTTTCTCATTCTTAGTTTGAGATCTTTTTCTATTTTTTAATTCATGTAATTTGTCTTCCAATTCACTCTGTTTATTTATTACTTGCTGTAATATATCCAATTTTGATGGTGGACCTTGGGTTTCTTTGTAAGTAATTTCATTTGGCTTTTGTTTTCTTTTATTACAAAGTTTCTCTTGAATAATTTTTTTATTTTCTTTTTCCTTTTTTTCTTTGCTGTTATCTTCAAAATCTTGATTTGGATTTGCCAGATATTTTTCCTCAATATTTTTTGGTACTTTTGGTGTGTGAATTGCTGTAATAGCCAATTCATTTTCCAATTCCTCTTGCAATTCTAATTCTTCTAACCTTTCCCATAACTCTTCGTCTGTTATGTTCACACTTTCTGTCTCTTCTGCTCTTTTTTTGTTTTGTTTATATTTTCTAACATTTTCTCTGTGTTTTGCCCTCCATACTTTATCATCTTCTTCAGAGTAGTATTCTATAATTTCCTCCCCCTCTTTATCATATAGAGTCTTTCTTGTAAGAGACAATTGATTTTCAAAATAATCCTTTTCCTTGATATACATATCTAGTTTCTCTTGAGCATCTGAAAAATATTATTTACCTTAGTAACTATAACTAATAGTGCATACTGGAAGCGTGCTGGGCCCATAACCTGATAAAATATGAAAGCGCTCAAGACTGTTTAAACTGTCAAACACCAAGCGGTCACCGGTGTCTGCAACCTATTGTTCTATAATTGTGTCTGTAATGACGGTACTCGACGAGTTAAACTGTAGAAAGATATTCATTGATACTTAAATAATAAAAACATTGCACTATTAAGATATCAATCGTAGAAGGAGGTTGTCTTCAACACTTGTCAATGATAATTCGCACTGCTCATGTCCGAGTATCTCCCAAGGCTTAGTATAGGTACCACACTGTGACTTTCTTAACAAATTGCTATATAATATGCTATATAATATACAGAGAGCATATACAAACTCTCACATCATCTGTCACAAGATTATAAAAAAAGAGAGAAATAGAAAAAATATAAAATTCATGTTACCTTTGATTCTATGTTGTCTTAGTACCTCAGCTTGTTTAATTGAACATTTTACGAAGTAATCTGCGCCTAGTGCAGCAGTGACTTCATTCGTATGTATCAGCTCACCTCTGAACAATATTCTGCTTCCAATGGGGACTAAAGTAGGAATTTTTAACTTATCACTAAATACACTGAAATCTAAATTCTTCAAGCTTTCTAAATAATTCTGCCAAAATGTAAAATTTTTTTCGTTTTCTTCTGAACTCTGAAAAAATTTGAATTTGATTTAATTTTAATATCCCATCTTTGTCAAAACTAAACCAAGTCTTGACTCCTTGAATTACTAAAACCCTACCTTGAAATATATTTCATTTAAAATATCCATAACTGAATTTTAAATGTTTAATATGGTTCTCTTTTTTGACCAAAATGATGAGATAAATATAATAATACCGAATAAAATAACAATTGATGAGAAATTGAAAATGTTAACAATTTTCATTTAAGAAAATGTAATGACATTGACAGTGACACATTTGACACCCGTCCCGTCACAACTTTGAACTTTGATTTGACATTGATCAATTTTGTTATAGACAATCTTATAGTATTCAAAGTAGACAATGGACATCGCCATCACAGACGTATCCTTATACGTTTTTTTTTATGGAAGATGAGGCAAACAAGTAGACGGATCACCTGATGGTTAGCCTTCAGCGCCGCCCATGGACACCCGCAACACAACAACAGTCACAGTTGCGATGCCGGCCTTTTAAAAAGGAATACGCTCTTTTCTTGAAGGTTTGAAGGTCGTATCGGTTCGGAAATACCGCCGACGACAGATCATTCCACAGTTTTGCTGTGCGAGGCAGAAAGCTACGTGAGAAGCGCACAGTTGTGACCTGCCAATCAGCTATATGATGGGATGCATTATGCTGTCGTGAGGGTCGATGGCGAAAACATGCGGCAGGTATCAGGTCAAACAATTCCTTATTCCCTGTGGTATAAGTGATAGAAAATGCACAAGGAAGCTACATCTCTACGCATTGCCAAAGTATCTAGCCGGTTTGAAACATCCCGACTTCCATCAATACGTCCATTAACAATACATAATTTAAAATCTTAGCCAACAAGAAATAAATCATAATTTTTATTTATTTATTTATTCATATTGCACAATGTACGTATAATAAGAAGTATTACATACATACCACTAATTCAGTACATACCCTGTTAGGGCGCAGCAATTTAAAGTGTAACAAAATTTATTTATAACATTTTTAACTAATTATTTATAACAAAATAACTATTACTTAGAGCTAAAACTACACTTATATATATTAACTATTCTATAGGACTAGGCCAATACTAGGCTGCTTGCTAGGCTGTACATAAATAACCGGTTCTCGTATAATTGTATTCTCTTCGTCCTTGTATTAACTATTTTGACTAATGCTAGACACAGCAACTAATTTAAATGATTATACCAATAACTACCCTTTTTTTTTTTAAGGGGGGAAAATCATCGAATGACTGCCCCCGCCTGGGTGAGGCGGGAGGGAGTGTCAGACTCTTACTGACTAAAAACCACCCCGTTCCTTCTCCTGCACGTCGAGCCGGAGCCCCGGTTACCCGTTAGGTTCTCCGCGACTCCGAATCGGCATCGGCCCTATTGGGCCCCATCTGTGGTGGTCTGATGGCTCTTTGAGGCGCGCGCGGAACGCGACGCGCCGTACGCTCGGGTCTGTTTCTGGTCGGACGGGGAGCCACCCATGCTCGCCGTCCGCAGGCCCGCGCTTACGGTGGCCGGAGATCGTCCCGCGATCCCCGACGCCCGGTGTGTCCTTCGCGATGGCTGGGTTGCGAGGAGGCAGCGCTTCGCTGCCTCACGCGTCCCGCCTCCTCCTTAGCTAGCATGACTGCTTCGCAAAAGGAGGAGACGGCATCCCAATCCCCCTCGCTCCGCATCATGGCCTGCACTAGGCCCGGACGCGAGAGGTCGCCATCGCCGATCACACCAATAACTACCCTACCTAAATATTTACAACTTAAAATTAACTACAACTAAACTATTAAATAAAAAGAAAGTAAAGGAAAACAACAAAAATTATACCCTTAATTTAGGCGTCAAAGTATTCGTCCGCATCACTATCACAGGGGAAAGTTCCCAGAAGACTGACAGCATTGCCACGTTGAATGGCAATGCTTATTTTCTGTCCGAAGAAAAAGCCAGCCCTCTGGTCACGTGTAGAGTCGATTAGCCTACGGGCGATGTCTTTAAATACAGAGTGTGCACTGGGACCCCATGGCCCAAGTGTTTCGACCCCAAACGGCTCTAAACAGTAGTTACCCACTAGATTTTAATATTTACGCCGTTTGAGGGCCTCTGCCGCGGAAGCAGCTGCACCAACGCATGCAGCGGTGCTTAAAAGATGTGATGGCGCAAGGGTGTCTACACACGTCGCGTCCCACACCAAAGGCCTATCCATCTTCCAAGGCAGCAACGACATACCATCTGGTCTTTTGCCGTCATCACGTACCAAACCATTAGGTTCTAATACGGCTGGTACACCGGCTGAGGCAAGAGCACGACGAATGATGTCGTTGATGCTGGCATGGCGAGCTATGCGGCCTGCACTTCTGCAACAAGAAAGACCATGGTGTCCCAAGCCATCGACTCTTTCTCCACATTGACAATAATGCGGAGAAACACAAGGAGCACCTAAACGTAGGCATACAGCTAGGCGGAACGTTATGTCATCCAACATAGTACCTATGAAGGGTGACGGGAGTGCCTGAAGCCACAATCCTGATTCCCATTCTCCCACAGCCAATAAGCGAGCTTGCTTTGCAGTATTAGTTTACGAGTTGATTAAAGACTCACGAATAACACTGCACAGCGGCACGTCCCACTGTCTCTGAGAAGACGGGTGAACAGGTAAATCCGTAAGTGGGCAAGCCATTTTCCACGCTTCCACTGCATCAGTCAAATACGGCACCTCAAAACTGGTCAGTGACGAAGAAAGAATTTTTGACTAATTAGTTTTACCAATAAAAATTCATTGTGAAGACAGCCTTGGACACCACGGCTTGTCGTGTAGCCGTAGTGCGGGTCGTTTTGCTCGACACGCGAGTATTAATGACATAATTCGTCGAGCTCTTGTCTCCGTTGGCGTGCCAGTTACTTTAGAACCTAATGGCTTGGTACGCAACGATGGCAAGAGACCCGACGGTATGTCATTATTCCCTTGGAAGATGGGTAGGCCTTTAGTATAGGACGCCACTTGCGTTGATACTCTGGCGCCATCCCATCTTCCAAACTCAGCGTGTCGAGCCGGTGCTGCCGCTGCTGCTGCCGAGAACCTCAAGCGGCGAAAGTATGATAGCCTGATTGGCAATTATGCTTTCAAACCGTTTGGGGTTGAAACTTTAGGGCACGGCCCAAGGGCACATCTTCTTTACAAAGATATTGTAAGGAGGATGGTTGACACTTCAGGTGATCGAAGGGCTGGCTTCTACCTTGTACAAAGGTTAAGCATTGCAATTCGACGTGGTAATGCTGCCAGTCTTTTGGGCACCCTACCTCACGATAAAGTCACGATAATGATGAGGAAAAATTTTTTTTTTGCATACATACAGAACATCACGCCTTTTACCCCCGAAAGGGTAAGCAGAGGTGTACATTATGCCACTGTACAAATTACTAAAGTGGGTTCATTAACTTAATATCCATTTATCCAAAGAATCCATATCATCATCATCATCATGTCATCATGCTAAGTTGTCCAATTACCGTCAACTGTCAATGTCAAAAACATACGGTCAATACCAAATGACGTTTTGTGTTTTAATGTTTTTGAACCGATCAATCAATTTACTTTGCAATCACTTTTAGAGATTTTAGAGAGTGAAAAAGTGTAATGTATTAAGAGATAAAGGTAAACAAGAACAACAAGTTCTATAATGGATGAAAAGAAATCTATCCTTCATGAACTGTACGTGTTTTCTGAATGGAAACCAGAGCCTGAATACATAGTAAGTGTGAACATATTTTTATTGTTTTTATATTTCACAAATAATATTCATCATTGCCTTTCATGTGAATATTGAGGACGCTCAAGTTTTGAAACTAGCAATTTTTTAACACGCTTTTATTTGGTCCATTTGTACCAAACTAAGAATGTATACATGTCCACACAATTTATTTATTTCAATTAAATAGTATGACATTACAGTCATAAAACCAAGGCGTTATACATTTCAAATAATTATGAAAAGAAAAAAAAAACAAAACAAAACAGAACAGTCCTTAAATAAAACAAACAATAAGAATAAGAAAATCTTACGAACTATGACAGGTTTTAATACCAATAAGCAAAATAAACAATATAAAATAAATAAGACATTTACAATACAACATAAAATAAAATACAGTCATGCATTTATACACTCGTACAACTTCATGCATTATTTGTACACAGTCCTCCAGCTTGATGCAAATATATCAAACTCAGGTGATGATGCCAGAAGATCATTTATCAGTGTGAGGGCACGAACAAGTGGCGAACGAGTGTGTGATATAGTGCGGGTATTAGGTACGGCCAGTAAGCAGTGGCTGCGGGGCCTTAGTTGGTACCTAGGTACATCAGGTACAAACAGTCTTACCACCTGCGCTACTATTTGTGGGCAGTCGGAATTACCGCGCAGAACTTGACAGGCAAATATAAGGAGGCTATAATTACTTACGTCTTACTTCAAGAGATTGAAAATTCAGCATGCCTAATAAGAATTTAGTTGGGTATAGATAAGGGTAGTAGCCAAACCGTTTTTTGTAAAAGAATCTAAGAAATGTCTTTTGGACTCTCTCCGGAAGCAAGGCGTAGGTACTTTCATAAGGGTTCCAGATGATTGCAGATGATTCTAGCTTAGATCTAACGTGTGCCATGTAAATGAGTTTGATCGCCAGGGGATTGCTAAAGTCTCGCATGTTGCATATAACAAAACCAAGTCTGCGATATGAGTAGGCAGCAAGTGCTGTCATGTGATCATGGAAATTAAGCCTTGAATCAAAAAGTACACCCAAATCTAGTACCGTGGTAACCCGTTCTATTGGTTCACCACCAAAGTAATATTGTGCATGTTTGGGATAATGCACACGACTAAAGGACATGACAGAACATTTTGCAATATTGAAGTGAAGTTTGTTTGCTATACTCCACTGAAGAAGAGAGTCAACATCATCCTGCATAGATAGCGAGTCGCTATCCTTTTGTATTCCGTATACTAATTTAAGGTCATCTGCATAAAGCAAACACCTGGCATGTTTAAGGGCGGACTCGAGATCGTTTACCATAATCCCAAAGAGTAAGGGTCCCAAAAACACTGGCTAACACCAGATCTGGTGTGATATAAGGGAGAAACGAAACACCCATGTCGCACAAATTGTTGACGGTCGCGCGAATGGCTTGCAAACAATTTAAGAAGTTTAGGTGTGAATCCAACAAGACGTAGCTTACGTAATAGTATGTCATTATCCACGCGATCAAAGGCTTTTCTGAAGTCGAGGTACAGAACATCAACCTGCATACCTTTGTCCAAGTGCTGCGAAATGAGGTCCACAAGCGTTACCAGGTTAGTGTCAACAGAACGATAGTAACGGAAGCCGTGCTGAGAATCGCATAGATACGGTGGGATCTGGGAGCTAATATGGGTATGCAGTATGGATTCAAAAACCTTGGCAATAGATGATAAAATAGCGATTGGCCGATAGTTTTCAACTTTGGAAGTATCTCTAGTTTTGGGTATTGGCTGTACTCGGGAGATTTTCCATAAGCGTGGATGTAGGCCATTTGAAATTGCTAAATTAATTATGTACAGTATTATGGGGTTTAAAAACTTTTTACAGCCTTTCAAGATATATGCTGGTATATTGTCCGGCCCCACAGCAGAGTTTGGATTTAATTTATATATAGCTGTTTCTATGTCCAATAATGTGACGTTATCCACATGTACAAAATTTGCCGAATTATTATAGGAGTCCTCAGGACCATTGTGGTCAAGGAGAGGTGTATCAGGCAAAAAGACACTGGCGAAGTAGGACGAAAAGGTTTTTGCAGTGTCTATGTCAGTACACTCCTTCCCTTTATAAGTTACTTTAGCCTCGCAGCCACGAATGTCTTTTAGATTACTTTATGTTGCCAGAAAGCGCGAGGGTCGCGTCGCAATTTAGTTTGGATGTTTGCAATATAGTCTTTATAAGCTAAGTTTATTTGTTGCTTAATGTTGGTTCTAAGTGTACTAAATTGGCTGTATATGGTCGGATCTTTGGTGGATTTCCAAAGGCGATGAAGCTCAGCTTTATGTTTGATATTGAAAATTATTTGTGATGAAAACCAAACCGGGTAACGTCTGCTAGGTTTTTTGGGTCTATACAATGACGAGGTGAGAGGACATGAAATTTATTTATTTATTTCTTTTAGCAAAAGCCTGATAGTATATTACCTGAGAATATATCAGCTCTTTGGCGATGGGTGAACTTCCTGGGACCGAAAAAAAATCTTCTTGATGCTGTAACGGCGTGAGTACTTTATTGGATAACATAAAACATTATTAATGTATTATTTGTAATGTTTATGATAAACTAAAAGAATTTGTTCATACTTTATTTAGACATTTAGAAAAACAACAAAAGTGGCATATTGCATTGGGAGACGAGGGCAAAGTAATTGCTGTTTTGACTGACAATATTTTGGAGATCAGAACGAAGAGATCTGAGTATGCAACAATTGCTGCTAGGACAACAGGTAACTAAATGACTATTTACAGTTCAATGTGACAAAAATCTTTTGACAAATTTATTAGTTCTTAGCTTCTGCCCGCGACTTCGTCCGCGTGGAATAGTGACTGCCAGTTCTTTCGAGATTTTTGGGTTAAAAACAATTCTATGTCCCTTCTCAAGTTCTAAACTGTCTGTACCAAAATTTCATCCAAATCGGTTCAGTAGTTTAGGCGCGAAGGAAAGACAAACACACAGATAGACAGACAGAGTTACTTTCGCATTTATAATATTAGTTAGGATTAGGAAATATTAATTAGGATTTAAGTAGGTATCTATTTAATTTAAAGCTTCTCTATAAACAATGTTTGAGGTTGTTTTATTTTCTGGTAACAAAATTATCGATTACTATACGATAGAACGAAGTATGAAACTACGAACATGCAAAACAAATGCAGAACGAAAGTTATAGAACTTTTTCACAACACAACAACCATATGAACGAAACGACCAAAACCAATAGACAATCGACATGTACTTTTAGAACTCCAACTCCAACTAACGACGATCCACGGAGACTTTAACACCGCGATTCAGAAAATGACGTAATTGCACAACGCCATCTATGGGCGAATAGGTAAAACGTCTGCACAGTGAAAGTTATGCTAGGGACATTTTGCGTTTTAGTAATTTTATATTATCTCCGAAACTGTATGACCAATTGATATACTGTAAATGGCTAATCTTATCTGCATGATGTTCTTGTAATAATTTATTGCCATAAGAATTAATATTTTGTTGGTCAAACAATCATGTAAACGTAAGTAGGTATGCCAAAAAATAAAAAAAAATATGCAATAAAAGAAGTATAAAAGATAAAATAGAAAAGATAGAGATATGGTATCGCGGACTTTTTGTAGAAATAATTAAGACGAACCAGGAGACCTACATAGTTTTTAATTTTAAGCAACTGTTTAGGTAGCGCACGCTTAATAATCATAGTACCGGCCTTATCCCTGCGCCCCTCCCGCCTTGGCAATAGGTACTCAATTCGAAACGGGCCGTACAGAAAAAATCGTAATATTTTAATTTCGCCATAACTTCAAAACCAAACAACCGATTTTAATCATTTAAAGACAAGTATTATCTACATAAACTGTACTTAGTGATGAAATAAAATATTTTGATAAGGATTAATAGCATGAGTGAAATAAATGTATTGAAATGTAGTCCAAAAAAAATTCAAGATTTTTTCTTAAATAATGCTAGTTGTGCCTTACTGGACCTAGATAGGTATAGTGTGTCGCGGACTTTTTTGAAGATATTTATAAGATCTATAATTAATTAGAACATTTTATGGTTCTATCCTTTATAGTTTAGGCAGCGCACGCAAATAATTCTTTTTTTTTCCGACTTGCTAGGCAAAACTTGTGATAGCTCGGTAAATATACATGTTATAGAAACAATTTATAGCCTATAGCACTCAGGAATAATGCAGCTTTCTGCTGGTAAAAACATTTTTAGCATTTTTACCCCTTGCATACAAACTTACAAATTTTACCTCTTTATAATATTAGTATAGAAGTATAAATTTAAAGCTTAGGCTTTGGGTCTTTATAGTAACTTTATGAATAATTTCAGTGAGCCGAGATGCTTACCCGCAATGGCGAAAGTTAGTGTGGAGTCCCGACTGCTCTCTAGTGGTTCTGGCCTATGGAAATGGTGTAGTCAGCTTCTTCGATCTGACTGCATCCAACCTTTTTAACATTCCTACTGTGAGTAAAATGGAATGTATTTAAAACAATTGTATTTTATACACAAAACAATTTCAAAATTGATATAAAAATTAATTTGTCAATAATACTGCCTGAGGTTCAGGGAAAAAACTTGTAATTGTGGCACACTTCTTCTAGGATTGCTCAAGACCAGGTGGCTTAGAATGCACAGATAATACACATGCTGTGGCTGACATTATATTTATGCCCCTGAGAGTCAAAGATACAAAATGGTAAGTTATTGTATAGGTGTTTTTTTCTATTTGAATAGGTGATTAGTTGCAAGGCTATAAGCTGATGAGTTCAATTATTATGACAAGTTGTTTTGAACCTAATTTAAATTTTTTTATGAGTCCTAATACCAGCATATCAATTTGTTAAAATAAGATTTTTCACTTTATTGTTTAATAATGTAGTCGAAAATGTTGATTCTACTGTTAAACTAATTTGATATTTGAATTAAAAAGCAAGACTTGTCTATCAATACCAATCTGATGGTTGCGATAATGCTAATAACTTAGCGTTACGTGGACGCCCATCGCGTTTTTGCGTATCATAAACGTGCTTACTGGCTGTCGGCTGTCGTTGAAATCGTTGTACTGGGCGACCGCGGCGGGTGCGATGTGTTGACGGTGCGAGTGGCAGGAACTGGGAGGTGTTGGTGGTGACGTACGACGGTCGGCTGCGCGGGTTCCTGGTGTCGCAGACGGACGCGTGCAAGCTGCACCACTCGTTCCGGTTCCCGGCCGGCGTCGCCGCGCTGCGCTACTGCGAGCCTCACTCCACCATGTACGTCGCCGGGGTGCCTAGGGGACCTGCCAAGGTGACTCGACTTCTACTAATATCTTTTAATGTCTATACTTTTATAGGTAAAAGGAAGTTGTGAATTGATTTAAATTTCAAACAAATCGTTATAGAAAAGCACAAAAAATAGCCCATAACCATCCAAACGACGCTGTCTATGCTTGCGACAACAAAAGGCTATTATTTTCGCAAATATTATTTTCAGGTTGAGTGAATTGGCGCCTTTTGGCTTCGTTATAGACTAATAACGGCAATTTATAGACTTGATATAACAGATACATAATTTTGAAATAAAACGTGAAATCACCTTTCAACGGCAAGAAAAATAAAAGAAATTAAACGAAAGAATGAACCCTATAAAATGATAAAAATTACTTTTAGCATTGCGTAAGTACCAACTAAAGCATGTCGGACTATCTACTCGGGACACTTTGTGCCACCTTTATGTCGGAGACATAACCGCTAATTTTGAACTGCAAATGCTTATCTTTGCCTGCTGTTGACGGTACGATGGGACCGCTCGAATATATTAGCTTAGCGTTAGAAGCACACATTAAGAAGTCCTCAACCCCATTGTTATACTAGTATAATTGTAATAGCTTACTAACTTTTGATTCAGGTAAGTAAGTATTGTGAAGGTAAACGGCGGGGGTTTTTTAAATTTTTAAATAATTGTAGATTGTATCATCTTACGTAGGTAGGTATATATATATATATAATATTTTCGTAAATTAATTAAGAGGCATTGTGAGGATATTTAGCTTCAAGGTTAACACCCAATACTGGTTTAGTTAGTATTGCTAAGTAATTGGGCACTTGGGCAGTCTCTTCACTGAAACAAAAATTATATAGATTTTTTAATACTTTAAGATAATATGAAAAAAATAATCAGTAATCACACAATTATCAATTAATTGAATGTTCCACAAAATGTCCATGTTTGTTCGGAGCAGTGTTTGTAAGTAGCGAAGTATTGGCACGTAGCGTGGTGTACAGGAGGCGCAGTGCGCGCTGGGCGCGGGGCTGAGCGCGTGGCGCATCCTGAACGACGAGCCGTACTACAAGCTCTCCGTCGTCTCCGACCACGCGGACGCGCTCGCCAACGACCGGTTCAAGCTCTACGTGCCCTTTGGATATTCCAATAATCTGGTATACTACGCCTGCTTGTATGTCTGTTGTGATTCTGTGGTCATCAGCCATTTTGCTTGAGAAATAACCAACGAACGCAGTTTCTCCCAATGTGTGTGTATAATTCTTCCATCTTTTGTCAGGCTTTCATAGTCCGAATGGAGCTCTCTCCGGACGGCACGAGGCTCGTATGCCTCCACTGCAATGGCGACGTGTCAGTATGGCGCCTGCCTCTACTGAAGCTGGAGTACCGCTGGGCGCTCGCCACTCAGCCCCACCACGACCTCAGGAACCCTCTCGCTGGAGACGAGAAGCCTGGGAACAAAAAGGACCTCACTGCATTCTACCCGGCTGACATCAACTGGTGGAGTAATGAGGTAACTGTTCAACATAAACTCTGGAACATATTTCTACGACACGTACATAATTGTGCTTGAAATATACCTGTATAACTCCGCACATAATGAGGTGAAGTGATAACGCACGTAATTTCTAATACATTTTTGAAAGTAATATTAATTCAGTTGAGTGAAGCGAACTAAGATAAGTGAAAATAAGTCTGTTAGTAATATTAAAATAATCGCATTTTACTACATGCATAATGCATATGAATGATACGATACACATACCTAAATAACATTTTTTACGATTTTTGTCTGTTTGTACTGGCTATTCTCTAGAATGGTTGGACCAATTTTGCAAGACTCTTATTGGCAGGTAGCTGATGTACTAAGGCGTAACATAGGCTACTTTTATATTAAAAATTTAAACAAAAAGAAAGTTATGTTCTAAAATTCATATTTCATGCGGACGAAGACGCTGGCAACAGCTAGTTTATAAATATAGGTACGTAATAGGGAACATGCAATATTTTTAGTATTCTTTTTATTTTAAAGAGTTATCATGTAAAATAGCTCTTAAACATTAAAAAAATAAAATCCAATCGAATTTATCGTAAAAAATGCATTTTCAACGAAACGTTTATATTTTCGTGCTAAAACGGACCTAATGTTCCGATGACGTCATTTGTGTATTATCATTATCACTGGTTGTGCTTGCGATCGTTGGCTGTCATAAATTACAAACGAGACCGGCAAACTTCCATAGTAAATCCAGCCCTCACAGACACGAATGAAATACTGTGGGTTCTCAAGGACTAATATTAGTATTCATCCCTGCGTAATTCGTTTTTTGATAGAACTCACTAATTTTAGTTAGTTGCCAAAAAATCCTCTTAACATTTGTTCCCGTTCTTATTACAGATTTATTAAGAATACTGTCATCCTTTTTGGTAGATTCATTTCAAACTTAAATCTCTTTTAATTTAATACTTCGTATTATATTTTATAATGTATGTACATAAATGTGAAATATATATATAATTACTTTAATATTGTATAGAAAAATGATTGTTATATAGTGTATATTGAATGTTATGATTGTGAGATTTGTTATCTTATATCTTACTAGTGACCCGCCCCGGCTTCGCACGGGTGCAATGTGCATGTATTATACATACAAACCTTCCTTAAGAATCACTCTATCTATTAAAAAAAACCGCATCAAAATCCGTTGCGTAGTTTTAAAGATCTAAGCATACATACGGACATACAGCGAAAGCGACTTTGTTTTATACTATGTATTGATACTCTTATATAAAGCGAAAGATTTAATTTTTTTGTTTGTTTGTTTGAACACGCTGATCTCCGTAACTGCAAGTCTGATTTGAATAATTTAGTTCTGATCACCGACCTCTAAGGATTACAGTAAAACTTAACCAGAAGATACAACGGGCACGTATGATTAAAAATTCTATTAAAAGAATAGATAAATTGACATTGATTGCAAATAAAGAACGTTTTATTTTAGAACTGAAGAACAGTTTTCAACTCTTAATTTAGATACAGAAGACGTGGAAGTACAATATAGAAATATTTCAAAATGCATAAAAACTGCAAGCCACAACATCAAAATAGCTAAATATAGAACGAAAAAATTGAGTCCTTCCACACTAAAAATAATCGATGACCGCCAAAAACTAAACATCCATACCCCAGAATATAAGGCGATAGATAGAGAAGTTAAAAGAAAAATCCGCACAGATATTCGTAATTACAACACACAACTTATAAAAACCACTCTGGAGAAAAACCAGTCCCTTAGAACCGCAATTAGAGGCACAGAAATTGGAAAAGTAACAATAAGCAACCTCAAAGACAATTCCGGAGTAAAACAGACGGATAAAGAAAATATTTTAAATGTTTGTACAGAATATTATAAATCCCTTTATGCTGCCGATAACAGTCAAGAGCACACAAACAATATATATTCATATTCAGAAAACATCGCACTTATTACCGGCTATGAAGTCCATCAAGCCTTACTAAACATGAAATACAGCAAAACCCCGGGAGAAGATGGTATTACCACAGAATCATTGAAAATAGGAGAACAAATTCTGTTGCCTCATATCACCAATTTGTTTAACTCCATATTAAAAACCGGAATAATACCCAAAAACTTTTGCCACTCAAATATTATATTATTACACAAGAAAGGCGACAAGTCAGATTTGGCAAACTATCGACCAATAAGTCTAGTATCTCATTTATATAAAGTGTTCATCAAGGTAATAGAAAATAGAATATCTGGCACATTAGACCAACATCAACCGGCCGAGCAGGCAGGCTTTCGACGCGGCCTCTCTACAACGGACCACCTACATACTCTGAACCAGATTATAGAGAAATATTTCGAATTCAATCTCCCTCTATATATAGCATTCATTGATTATTCCAAAGCTTTCGACAGTCTCACCCATTCATCAATATTCAAAGCACTGAACAACCAAGACATCTACCCCACCTATATCAATTTGCTTCAGAACATTTACCGCGAAAGCACTGCAGCAATTAGACTCCACAAACTCGGCCAATCCTTCCCTATTTCTAAGGGAGTCAAACAAGGCGACCCGCTATCTCCGAAACTCTTCACTGCAACCCTTGAAGAGGTCTTCAAAAAGCTTGCGGCGTGCTGGAGTACAAGGGGGGTGGTCATCGGGGAAAAGAGGTTAACAAACCTCCGTTTCGCCGATGACATAGTTCTCTTCTCTTCTTCAGCAGCCGAGCTAGGCAATATGATCAACGATCTCAGCAGGGCCAGCCTTGAGGTGGGATTGAAGATGAACATGTCGAAGACCAAACTAATGACCAACAGTATAAAATATAGGTTAGAGGTAGATGGCGTGGAAATGGAATACGTCCAAGAATATATCTATCTGGGCCAACTAGTTTCTTTTCAGGCGAGACAAGATAGAGAAGTTGCAAGACGCACCGAAAATGCCTGGAAGAGCTATTGGTCCATGAAAGACCTAATGAAAGGTAATCTTCCATTAGCGCTCAAAAAGAAACTCATGGACGTGTGCATTCTGCCCATCCTCACCTATGGCGCTCAAACTTGGTCTTTGACAAAACATCAGAAATCCAAACTCAGGGTTTGTCAGCGGGCCATGGAGCGCAGTATCTTAGGAGTCCGACTATCGGACAGAATTAGGAACACCACGCTGCGCTCCACAACTAAAATCGTCGACGTTGGCCATAAAGCCGCAGGCTTGAAGTGGAACTGGGCTGGTCATGTCTGCCGCATGTCAGATGAGCGGTGGGCAAAACTTACTACTGAGTGGAGCCCACTCAACGTCAGTAGACGTCGCGGCAGGCCCAAAAGGAGATGGCGGGACGAACTAGACATCTATGACAAGGATTGGCCGCAAAAAGCTTTACATAGAGAGGAGTGGAAGGAGGGTAGGGAGGCCTTTGCCCTGCAGTGGGACGATCATGGCTGAAAATAAATAAATAAAATAAAAATAAATAAAAAGCTTTACTATAATGTTTATCTTTAATGACATTTTTAAATTTATTTAGACTCAAATTTTGGATATGACTGGGAATTTCATTGTAAAAGCGTATACTCTGACATCTAAACGAACCACTTATTTTCTTAAGTCTAGTAGTGGGAACAACATATTTGTCTTTGTTTCTTGTTTTGATATTATGTATATCACTATGCTTTTTAAATAAACTTTTGTTTTTATGAGCATATACTACATATTCATAAATATATTGAGAGGCAACAGTCATTACATTAATATCTTTAAATAGTTCCCTGAGAGAGTACCTCGGACTAAGATTATAAATTGATCGAATGGTCCTCTTCTGCAGAACAAAGATAGACTGAATGTCAGCAGCATTCCCCCATAGGAGAATACAATATGACATGACACTATGAAAATAACTAAAGTATACTAATCGCGCTGTATCTACATCGGTTAAATTTCTGATTTTTTTAACGACATATGCTGCAGAACTGAGCCTTTTCGATAAGTTATCTATATGTAGAGTCCACTGGAGCTTAGCGTCTAGAGTTATACCTAAAAGACAGTAGAATCTACAAGGCTCAACTCCTCACCCTTAATGAGCACGCTGGTTTTCACATGTCCAACATTTGGTGTTGTAAATTTAATGCATTTAGTTTTAGTTCCATTTAGTAATAGGTTGTTGGCACTTAACCAGCGTACTATCTCCGAGAGAGCACTGTTCACATTATCAATGACTAATTGTTTAAGTTTAAATAATAACGAAGTATCATCCGCAAACAGTACTATCCCGTGGTTATCTCTTACAAGGTAAGGTAAGTCATTTATATATATAAGAAACAAAAATGGGCCGAGAATTGACCCCTGCGGAACCCCCATCCTGACAACAGACCCGACGGAGACTTTCCCGTTTATCTCAACTCTCTGAATTCTGTTACTCAAGTAAGAGGTAAGAAGATCCAGAGATTTACCTCTTATTCCATAATGGGATAGCTTCCTGATCAATGTATCATGAAGGACACAATCGAACGCCTTGGACAAGTCACAAAAGATGCCCAAAGCGTCGCTTGAGTCCTCCCACGCGTCATATATGTGATTAAGAAGTTCAACACGGGCATCAGTTGTTGAACGACCCCTGGTAAAACCAAACTGGTTACCATGCAATGACGTATTATATATAGACACGTCATGAACCAACATCGCGGCGCTTAAAAACGGCGAAAATTCTAGATAACTACTTATACGCGTGAAGAAAGGGAAAGAAAATATGACACCGTACGGCGGGATGCATGTTGCTAGAGGGAGATAAATATTCATCTTCTGTTACGTCATAGGATAAGTAATAGTCAAATTACATGCTCATTGGTCGAGCGCATGAGTGACATAGCTATCAGAGGCATATGGGGAAAAAAGGGCATGCGATTTTTTTGACTTAATGAAATAGTTGATATACCGTATTACCTACTTTACGAATAAAGTAATAATAATATTAATCTTTAAAATATCAATGCTGTATTCCGCAACAGTAATTATTGTTACATATTAAATTAAAAAATAAAACAAAAATCTGTATAAACATAAAAAAAACCTTTATTTAATCATATAAAAAACATTAACTTATTGATAGGCAATCGAACAGTATGATAATCGAAGTCATATATTATCGACTTATGTTGCAGAACAGATATATATTTTTAAATTCCTTCAAACAAAAAAAAAATAAATAAAATGCATAAATTCTATCAACCAAAAAACACTAATGTAATAGTGTCCCAACCTCCCCTAACGGCACGTGACTACTAACTTCATGCGCCGGCCGCCATTACCCGGCGGCGTCGAAAAAATAAAATAAAAATAAGTAGTTTTGTGAACTTACTCATGAAATGACACATTTTTGTCTTTAACATTTGGGGTATAATTTGTACATCGTCTGAAAACACACGAAGGCATGTTTTCTTGATGTTTTGCACAGATTTACACATACGATATAAATTCAAAACAAACGTCCCGTCATGCGACTGGTTGGTGCGTAACTAAGCGCGATGTGGCCAATTGGCTTCATTTCATGTTGTCATTTTAGAGTGCGGACAACGTATCTATAGTTTTATAATATCATTGTTACCATGTAACAATTTATTTGTATTAAAATATCTTTGCATTTGATTTAGAATAATCTTTTCAAAAATTTTACTAAATGTAGGTAGTACTGAAATTGGTCTAAAGTTAGTGGGGTCAGAAGTACTACCTGATTTAAATAACGGAGTTATTTTACTATTTTTCATAAGATCAGGAAACAGACCGCGGTCGATACAGTTATTAAAAATTAGAGCTAATACAGGTGCTATAATAGCTATAACAGAGCTGGAGATGTACACAGAATTACCCCACAAATCTGCAGTAGTTTTACTTATTCAAAGTGTAGAAGGTTTTGACTATATTTGTATAATCTATGTGTTCAAAAGAGATTCCTATGTTGCAAGCTATAACATTTTTTTTTTGTAAAGATTCTCTAACAGTGGGAGATGAATTCAATGACTTAGTCTTATATATAGGAATGTCCAAAAAGAAACTTTCAAATGCAGCTGCAACTTCTGCGTATTTTCAATTAGAAGACTATATTCATTACTTCTCTTTTTAGACTTTCCCGTCTCACTGTTAATAATACTCCAGGTCGCTCTGATGACGTTGGTACTGTTCTTTATTTTCGAGCTCAAGTACTGCGACTTTGCAATGGCGCAGAAATTAAGTAAAGGTTGACTGGGAGACAATGCCCAAGGCATTAAGTCCTTTACACACTTGTTATATTAAGTTAAAAAATAAGCAAATTGTAGCGGTTACATGATCTTGCAAGTGGTAAAACAAATGTACCGGCAGTGTGCTGAAGTAAACGCCATCATCCTACCACTGCTACGTTACGCGTTCAGGGTTAGAGCTAGCGATGTCTACACCTAGAGCCAAAGACGTTTTTAATTATTAACAGTAAACTTAATACATAATAAAATGGTGAGGGGCAAGTCTCCTGGTCACGATGATCTCAGCATCGAGCACCTTAAGTATGCGGGAATACACCTGCCTAGAGTTCTCTCGATGTTCTTCAGCCTCTGTATTGGTCACAGTTACTTACCCGAGAGACTTATGTACACTACCGTGGTGCCGATCCTTAAGAATAAAACAGGTGACTCATCGGATCTGTCAAATTATAGACCTATCTCTCTGGCTACTGTTATAGCAAAGGTGCTGGACAGTTTGCTTGATAAACAGTTGGAAGAGCATCTACAATTACACGACGCCCAGTTTGGATTTAGACCAGGACTTTCAACTGAGGATGCTATCCTCTGCCTCAAGCAGACTGTTCAGTATTATACTGATCGTGGCACACCTGTCTATGCATGTTACCTTGATTTATCAAAAGCTTTTGACTTGGTGTGTTACGACAAGCTGTGGCAGAAGCTGGAGAGTGACACGGAGGTACCTCGGGAGGTGATTTCATTGCTGAGGTTCTGGTACGCCAATCAGCGCAACAGAGTGAGATGGGCTGGTGCACATTCTGATGTATACGGTTTGGAATGCGGAGTTAGGCAGGGGGGAATCAGCTCCCCTCATCTCTTTAATTTGTACATGAACCGGCTCATCGGTGAGCTCAGTAACACTGGTATCGGATGTTCCATAGACGGAGTCAGTATAAATAACATAAGCTACGCCGATGATATGGTGTTACTGAGCCCATCGATTGCAGCGTTACGGAAATTGATGTGCATCTGCCAATCATACGCGGAAGCCCATGGGCTCAGATACAACGCGAATAAGAGTGAGTTCATGGTGTTCAAGTCACGTAGCAAATGCTACTCCCATGTTCCTCATGTAACTCTGTGCGGCATGCGTCTAAAAAAGGTTAGTGCCTTTAAGTATCTGGGTCACTGGGTGACTGAAGACTTGTGTGACAATGAGGACATCGAGAGGGAACGCAGGGCTCTGTCCATCCGGTGTAATATGTTGGCTCGCAGGTTTGCACGTTGTACTACTCAAGTAAAGATAACATTATTCAAGGCGTACTGCCAGACCTTTTACACGTGCAGCCTGTGGACTAATTTTGCGCTGCGGGTGTACAGTGCACTGCGAGTGCAGTATAACAATGCGTTTAGGATATTATTGGGGCTGCCACGTTTTTGTAGTGCTTCCGCTATGTTTGCTGAGGCGCAAACTGATGATTTTTTCGCCATAATCAGGAAAAGGTGCGCCTCGCTGTTAAGGCGTGTGCGTGGCAGCCCGAATGGTATTCTGAGCACATTGTCCCAGCGGTGGGACTCACCAATGTTGATGAGGTGGATGCGATTGCACGCGAGCGGTCCCTCATATTTATAGTTGACATAAATATATTATTTACTTGTATTATTATCTATTGACTTGTATTTTTATTGACTTATATTATTATTGACTTATATTGGGATTGTATTGACTATTTATAATTGAAACTGACTACTTATAATTAATTGACTATTTACAATTGAAATGGACAATTGACTATGTATGTTCTTTGTGTGTTTGTGTTATTTATTATTTTGATTATTTGATGTATGAACGAATTGATTATTATTTTTATTATTTTTAATTTATTATGATACTTACTATAGAGACAATATTTTTAATTTTTAATTTATATATAAAATTTTGAACCTGAATTCGTTTTAAATGTAATTTTATGGATTTTATTATCTGAAATAAATTGGTATTATTATTATTATTATTATAATCTAATATCTGTCGAACTTGCGATCGAGAGAAAACCACTATTTCCTTGCTGTGAGCTGCATGCCTTTGTTTCTTTCCAATGGGAACTAAGTGAGCAATCAATGTAGCCGGGGCCCGGGAGCTCAGCGCCCAGCCCGCCACGGCCACGGTTACAATCCTTCGTCATACAACTCTCTGAAGCATTCTACAGACGAGATTGTGCGCTAATAAGTAATAACACGTCACTCTGTACAGTTTGTTCAATTCAGTTGGTTCTTGTCTGTTATTTGCAGGAAATAATAGTATCGCGATTTAGCGGGGCAGTCACCATTTGCGATATAGAGACTATGGCTAATATTCTGGGGAAGAAGCCTGAATTTTTCCAGGGAGCCCCACAGGTACTATTCATATTCATTAATAAATCTTACATTAAATGTAACTTTGTTCCCTTGACATTAAAGACGACGTGAATATTTGCAAGTGTACGATGTGAACAGATCACGCGCGCGCATGGCGGCACGGCGATGGTGCTGGAGTGCGAGGGCCACGTGCTGCCCGCCAGGACGGCGCGCAGCGACCCCGCGGTGAGTGCCAGCGACCCCGCGGCGAGTGCCAGCGACCCCGCGGCGAGTGCCAGCGACCCCGCGGCGAGTACCGGCGTCCGGGGCGCGGCGGCACATACACCTTCAACTGTCGCTTTGTTGTAGATGGAAGTAGTGAAGATAGAAACCGATTCTGAAGACACGATGTTAGAGCTAGCGAAGGAGCTGATCAAGTCCGTGCTGTACGCCATCACGGACATCGAGACGTTCCAACCGAAGCCGCGGCGCATCACGGTGGTGTCGCGCGTGTACCGACTGCTCGGACTCAAGAGCACGACGCCCACGGAGCTGTTCTCGCGGAAGGTAGGCCCGGTCCGTCCCCCGAGCTATTCTCGCGGAAGGTAGGCCCGGTCCGTCCCCCAGCTGTTCTCGCGGAAGGTAGACCTGGCCCGTCCCCGAGCTGTTCGAACGCGGAAGATAGGCCCGGTCCGTCCCAGTGCTGTTCTCGCGGAAGATAGGCCCGGCCCGTCCCCGAGCTGTTCTCGCGGAAGATAGGCCCGGCCCGTCCCCGAGCTGTTCTCGCGGAAGGTAGGCCCGGCCCATCCCCGAGCTGTTCTCGCGGAAGGTAGGCCCGGCCCGTCCCCGAGCTGTTCTCGCGGAAGGTAGGCCCGGCCCGTCCCCGAGCTGTTCTCGCGGAAGGTAGGCCCGGCCCGTCCCCGAGCTGTTCTCGCGGAAGGTAGGCCCGGCCCGTCCCCGAGCTGTTCTCGCGGAAGGTAGGCCCGGCCCGTCCCCGAGCTGTTCTCGCGGAAGGTAGGCCCGGCCCGTCCCCGAGCTGTTCTCGCGGAAGGTAGGCCCGGCCCGTCCCCGAGCTGTTCTCGCGGAAGGTAGGCCCGGCCCGTCCCCGAGCTGTTCTCGCGGAAGGTAGGCCCGGCCCGTCCCCGAGCTGTTCTCGCGGAAGGTAGGCCCGGCCCGTCCCCGAGCTGTTCTCGCGGAAGGTAGGCCCGGCCCGTCCCCGAGCTGTTCTCGCGGAAGGTAGGCCCGGCCCATCCCCGAGCTGTTCTCGGGGAAGGTAGGCCCGGCCCGTCCCCGAGCTGTTCTCGCGGAAGGTAGGCCCGGCCCGTCCCCGAGCTGTTCTCGCGGAAGATAGGCCCGGCCCGTCCCCCGCGTGCTAGCTAGCAAGGCCCTCACTGCGTGTGTCGTGTCGCAGATAGAGAGCGGCTCGTACGGCGAGGCGCTGGCGCTGGCGGACAGGTTCCAGCTGGACAGTGACCTCGTGTACCAGCAACAGTGGCGCAAGAACCCAGTCTCCAGCGACGCCATACACAACTACCTGGTGCGTATACTATGTACACGTCCTATACTTCATACTTGTCATAACTTCGAGTCGAAATACGTTTTCATTTTATTTGTGACGTAGCAAAATAAATGATAACTTCCAGGGGAGACGTGAAGTCTGTGGGAGTGTGATCGCTGACTTACACCTGTGATACCAAACGGATTTGATTAATATATGACTAAAAGTAATATGCGATCACGATTTAAAATGTCTGTGTCGATTTCAGTTTTTGACAGGAACTGCATAAAAATAATGTCAAAACTCGATCTTAATTTGAAATCAGTATTAATATACAAGGTGTAGTTTTGAAGCCGTGTCATTTCTCGGGGGCATATCACAGAAGTCATAAAGGTTCAATGTAAGGGGAAATTTCGAGCCAATAGTTAAAAATACGGCTATAATAAGTCGTTTAAATATGACAGTATTTCAGAATAAGCTACAACAATGTTTCTTTTTGGAGTTTTATGGAATTAGGAATAATATCAATTACGTGTTTGAGTTTGTATGTGTTAAGCCGAAAGCTAGTTACAAGGCGGCGGCGTGTAGTTCGCACTTACGGATTTCCGTTATTTCAAAAAAATGAAAAATATTTACCTACATTTTTTTTATTGATTCGGTCTCTAAATCGATAGCCGAGTTACCTCCTAGAAAATGACGCGGCTTTAAAACAACATCTTGTATAGAATAGAATCAAGCGTTACTTTGCGGAAATCCATGCTACTCTTACAACTGGGAAATGAATTATGTTTTATTCCGCTGAAGGAATGAATTAGTAGTATGCAGCAGCGCCCACCCGCCCACTCCGGAGTTGACTCGGCGGCGGCAACTACTGGAACCAGTGCAAACTGGTTATTACATATGTTTCTTATATCGAATCGTAACCTACGAGATTGTAAAAGTCTATTTTCTTTTATTTCCATCATCCCCAAGCGGTCACCGGTGACCGCTTTCCACTAATATTACATTACATTATGTGCCACTTCATTCCTGAAGGTTAGCCGTCATTTTTTTAAATTGGTCCTTGTTATTGGCCAGGCGGAAAAGTTGTTCCACAGCCACGACTTTTTCCATCACCCAGTTCCACCTTACCCATTATTATAATTTATAGTTTGTTATCGGTTCTTTGAGCTTAATGGGAAATCCCTGAACAAAACGAAAACTATTTATAACTTTTGAACCGGAATCGGACCCCTATTCCCAGAGCAAAAAGTTAAAGAATGACCTGCTCTATAGTCCGATAATTAAGGAGATAAGGATATCTGGAAAGATTTCCGGGAGTTTTGAAAATCAACAATTTTGTAGATTTTCATCAACTCTTTTCAATTTCCATTTTGCACCTTTGTATATGCGCTGCTCGCGCCACCATCTTGGAAAAATGGCGACCAAAATAAGATTTTTTTTACAATACTCTTTTCCTGTATATGTATTTTACAAGAAAACCGTTAACTACAAAATTAAACTTCTTATAATTTATGTATTTACATCATTTTTATAAAATCACAAGTTTTGGTGTACGAGCGCTGCAAAGCAGATACACTTCAATTGCATTTTGAAAAAAACTTACATTGACTTTCATTTTAATGGCTCCTTGTGTACCGATCGAGAAGTCACCGATCATTTCTTCCATTATGAAAATTTTGGAAATCGAAAAGAGCACACCAAAATCTGCAAAATTGCCGCTTTTCTAAATTCCCGAATAACATACGAAAAAACAACTTTGCCCCACCCTTTTGCGTGTCTGGGTCTGTGGGTGTCTACCCAGGCCCGAAACAACAATTGGTGGATCACACAAAGAGTCGTTCCGTGCGAGAACAGAACCCGCGGCACGTTGCGTGGCAGCCGGTTACCCAGCCATCGCGCATCGCGCCAACCGTGCAGTCAACTGCCGAAGTAAATTACTGAACTACTATGCCCCTGTTCCGTTCGATCCATACTTCTAGGAACACCTGTGTATGTATCACGCAATCTTAAATGATAGGATAAATGTTATAGAGCAAAGTGTCGAAGAAGATCTGGGCGGTGCACCAGTGCGTGGACCGGCTGCCGGAGAGTCTGCCCGCCGCCAAGGAGTTGCTGCAGTTCGGCCTGCAGCTCACCAACGACACCATCCTGGCCGGTAAGGCTCGGCCCAGTGCGCTGCGGCGGCGCCGACGGCCGGTACATGCGAGTGTTCCGCAGAGATCAACGCGGGGCGCGGGGGGCCCGCGGCGCTGGGCGCGGCCGACGTGCTGCCGCGCCACCTCAACGCCTACACCGCCGAGCTGCTGCGCTGCCGCCACGTCATGCTCTTCTACCGGGAGAGGCTCCGGCTCTACGAGGTACCGCGCCTTGTACTCGCTACTTTATAATAACTGACTGACTTTGTGGGTAACCCTAACCAATTTGTATGTAAAACCCAATTGGTTGTTAAATATTTGCCATTTAAATGCACAAAGCATTCCCACCACACCGTAGTTTTCGATGTGTTCAGCACCACCAACGTCCAAAACTTGGCTCAAACCTTTGATTATATAATGTCTAGATGGAGTGTCAGTTCACGAAAAGCGGTCCAAAAGTTTGCAGTGAACTATTCACTGCAATGTACTTTCCCGTCAAGTAGTACCAATTGTGCCACCTAAGCGTCACTACGTTTATACACGCTACAAAACAAATCTGTAACCAAAAAAGTAGGTACACTACAAAGATGGCCACTTGCCCAATAAAATTGTGCTAAAATTATAAATGACGATTAAAACATACTAAACAGACCACTTATCCATCGCTTAATAATTAAAAACTACATTATTAAATTTATATTTTTGACGTAACTAATTGCCGCCATATTTTATCAGTGTTGCCAATTTATTTTTCAATTTTCCCTTCTCACGGTCTCATAAACAGGGAAAAATTGACAAAAAATCTCATCATCATCATAACATCACGCCTTTTTATCCCCGAAGAGGTAGGCAGAGGTGCACATTATACCACTACAATATAACACCAACATTTCACCATTTATGTTATGAGTCCCATGTAATAGGGGGTGAGGCTATTGCCAAATACCGGGCACAATTCTAGACTCCGTGCTACTCCTGAGAATTTTTAAAAACCCAGTAATACTTTGTCCGACCCGAAAATCGAACCCGAGACCTCTTGATCGGCAGTCGCACTTGCGACCACTCGACCACGAGGCAATCTTAAAAAAATCTGACTTGCTTGTTAATTAAAAATATATTTTTTTATCATTTATTCAAGTAACATTTACCTACGCTTGTACTAATTTTTCTAACCGACTTAAAAAAGAAGGTTGGTTTCGATCCTTCTTAAGTTGGAATCGATCGAAGTAATATTTTTTGATGGAAAGGGTGCAACTGCAATAATATTTAAAAAACTGGTTTTATACAAATAATAATGTAAAAATGTTTTAATATGAATATTTAATTATACTTTTCATACGGAAAATTAATTCTTTCTATAAAATATTTTCCCTAAAATTAAAAATTAAAAATTTTAGGGAAAATATATTACCTACTTATATGACAAAATACAAATATCAACGAAGTGTCCAATAAAAAAAAAATTAAAATTAAATTCAAAGAGATGGTTACATTTTTTTATTATACTTCCAAATGATCTGGTATATGTACCCTAATATTTATAGGGGGATATACATTTTTTGGGAGAATTTTTGTCGTAGCTGGTATCAATTTTGCTCCGTGTAAATCACAAACCGCACGCACACATGCAAGAGATTTTGGAACGTCATTTTTGTTGCTATTGTATGGTGGCGCTAACGCTTAACGACTCACCACAATACTGTTGGCGATAACTCCTGGCCTGACCTTATCTTCACCTCCAACCTCTCTCTTGTGTCCTGCCATGGTCTACATGATGCTCCGGGTTTCTCACATCATGACATGATTTTCCTGTCCTACATCCTTATACCGCCCAAGGTGAGGCCCAGGGTCTCGTATAGACGTTGTTTTAGACGGGTGATCGGAGCAAGATTGCAGGAGGACGCGTCGTTGAACGACTGGGAGCCCTTGATGGACGCCATTGCGGTTGATGATAAAATTGCAATCTTTAACTCAATAACGTTTGAATCTCTACGATCGTCACGCTCTTATCAGGAAAATAAAGGTTAAGCAGCTCCCTGCACCTTGGATGACCCAAGGGATTAGGATGGCCATGCGGCGCAGAGATCGGGCGTTCCGTAAACACAGGAGGGAACGCACTGAGGAAAACTGGGCAGTCTTCAAGATTGCAAGAAACAGATGTAACCAGATGGTTAATAACGCTAAACGCCGCTATGTTCTCGAAAACATTTTATCTTCTTCTCCTGCCGTTATCTGAAAATTCCTCGGAACTCTAGGTATCGGTAAGACGCAATTTTTTGCATGACTTGGCAGCCCGGTTAAAGGCTCTCTTCCTTTGATGAATGTCGCCAGTCCTACGGCGCCTGGCATTCGTCCATGCCAGTTGGCTGAGGTGCACGTCCGCAGTCGGTATCGAACCATGGACGAGTTCCACTGAAGAATGCCACGTCAGATATGGAATGTAGTATTCCATGCCCTGGCGCAGCACCTCCGTTATGTTTTCCGCATAAGCTGACGGGTCATCAGAAGAGAAGCAAATAGACTTGTATCTATCACTAATCCTTTCCTCTTCGCTCCAGTTGACTCGACTGAGGTTGGAAGTATCATCCTCTTAATCAAATCCAAAGCGGTCGGTTGTGACGTCACTCGATACATGATTGTTACTGTAGAAGATTATATTGTTCTCAAGATGTTGTGTATGAGAGCGTAAATGATACACGGACAAGAGTATAGAATGGATGCTATATTGCGACTAAACAATTTTACAATAGCAGGCGCAACTGCACATAGGCACACACACTTATATAATAAAATACATTACATTGCATGTTATTACATGCGTCACCAATGTGCATGTGTCCCTACATTACCATTCTAGATCACCTCCTACAAGCGATAACCCAAGTCATCAACTTTTGCCTTGATCCCGGTACCTTCCCTTCCTTCTGACGTGGAGTCAATATCCAATATCCATACTCCCATTCCTGTCCAAAGTGCTCGAAGCCTGTGTTCATAAACAATTCTCAAATTTCATATGTCGGAATTCACTGATCAGTCTTCTACAATCTGGTTTCAAACCTGGCCACAGGATTACTTCCGCCCTCTCATATTGCTAATATGCCATAAGCAAGCGTCGTGATTAATGCTCATAATTTTTCCGCGAAGGAAGGGGCTATCGCTCGGCGGCGGGTACTCGTACGCTGACGATGACGTGATATTAAAAATGAAAAATAAAGCGATGCGAACGTTTCAGTCCATATTGAAGTGCGAGAAGTCGACGTACGAAAAGGACGAGTACGACCGCCTGCGCAGTAACAGTATCGCGCAGAGCGCGCTGCGACTGGCGCGCAGCGGGCGCGTGGCGGCGCTGGCGTGTCTGTGGCCGCACGTGCGCGGCCTGGCGTGCCAGCTGCGCGCGCTGGACGCGCTGCCCGAGACCACGCCGCCCGCGCTGTACCGCCGCCTGCTGCCGCCCGCGCCGCCCGCGCCGCCCGCGCCGCCCGCGCCGCCCGCGCAGTCCGCGCAGCCCGACCAGTCCGCGCAGCCCGACCACGACTGGTGCCGGAACGAAATATTTCGGTGAGCAGAACCGTAACATACACCCGGTGCTTTGACATCTAATGCCGACCATACTTTGTTTTACGTCATTCACTTGTGTATTATATGACAGCAGGCGTGCGCGCGACTCGGATTATTTTTAGATAAATTTTTGTTCGGCTAAAAATTTTAATTTGAAATTGATGTTTTTTCAAATTTTAACAACATGGATTTTTTCCCAAATGTAATCATTTGTTTATTGATTTGTGTTACATTTTCGTCGCATTTAAATATTTTTCGTTGTTAGTTTATATAAAAATAAGATTACACCAAACGCCCTCTAGTGTTAAGTATGTGCAACTAGTGTTTTATTATCTGTGCCTCAATAAACCGACTTCACTTCTGTCAAGTGAATTCCGCATGTACACGTCGTTTTATTAGGTTATGGGCCCAGCACGCTTCCACTGCGCCACTCTCTTTGTAATACTGATAAACCTGTGCGATTATGCAAATATACAGCCGTGTTTGTGGCCTCGGCCCAGAACTTCTTGCTTAACTGTGCATCAAAAAGCATGCACCTTGCTTTCTCGACTAAGGTTCTGTTCATTCGTTCACATAATCCATTCTGCTCAGGAGTATATGGGCATGTTGTCTGATGAATGATTCCAAATTTCTTCAAATAATGATTAAAATTACCATTACAGAACAGACCATTACAGAATTGTGCATCCATGATTGCATATGTGACACAGATTATAGAAACAGGGCAAAAGTTGTGTAATACAGGTTTTCAGTTAAATGAAGAGTGGATTGGTTCATTGTTGTTGGCAGGGCTACCTGAAAAATATGCCCCCATGATAATGGCCATAGAGCACTCAGGAATTCAGATAACAACGGACGCCATAAAAAGTAAGTTACTTGACATGGAATCGGAAGATGGAATGAACGAAATGTATTCAGTGTCAACAAAAGCGAAGAAAGAAATTAAATGTTATCGATGCAAACAAATAGGTCATTATAAATCACAGTGTATGGCTGAAGTGTCGAATAACAAAGGCAACGAACGCAAACAAGACAAAAGTGGGATAAAAAGGCCCAAAAAGGTATTCTAGTTGGCTATGCTGATGCAAGTAAGGGCTACAGAGTGTATGATCCAGATAAGAATATGATAATAACCAGCCGAGATGTGATAGTTGTTGAAAAAGAAAACACTACTATAGCAGTAGTAGAACAGAAAACAGTAAATGAAACAATTAAAAGTACAGACCAGACATCTTCAGTGGGGGATGTGAAAGAAAGCTTGTCTGACACTCTCACATCCCAAACAGAGTCTACAAATAATTCTGATTCTGAATATGTACCAAGTGAATATGAAGATGTAGAAGAAAGTTTACAGGAAACTGTAACCACCACAAGGGAAACTAGAAACAGAAAACAACCTGATAGGTATGGTTTCAGTAGCCAACAAAATGTCTGTCTTCAGGAAGCTGGAGTTTTAACTTTGCAGGAGGCTTTGACTGGACATGAAAAAGAATATTGGCAAAAAGCAGTAAAGGAAGAACTTCAATGTTTTGAAGACAATCAAGCTTGGGAGTTGGTTGAAATTCCGAATAATAGTGTTTGTGTGGTTCAGTGTAAGTGGGTTCTAAAGAAAAAATGTGATGTGGACGGTAAAGTTTTATATCGTGCTCGTCTAGTGGCAAAGGGTTTTACTCAGAGACATAATGTGGACTATAATGAGACATTCTCTCCAGTGGTTAGATATTCTACGTTAAGATTACTATTTGCCTTGACTGTAAAATTAGATTTTAAAACAACACACTTAGATGTAAAAACAGCATTTTTAAACGGATGTCTTGAGGAAGATATTTTTATGCAAAAGCCAGAATGTTTTGATGATTTAAATGATGGTAAAGTCTTAAAATTAAAAAAGGCCATTTATGGGCTGAAGCAGTCCTCAAGAATGTGGTATAAAAAGGTTGAAGACTGTTTGCATAATATTGGTTATATAAAATCGAAATATGAACCTTGCTTGTTTACTAAGAGAATGAAGAAATGTATAACTGTTATTGCATTGTATGTCGATGATTTCTTCATATTTAGCAATGATTGTAATGAAGTAGTAAAGTTAAAAAGGTTGTTAGGGGAAAATTTTAAGATTAAGGACCTAGGACCTATAAGACAATGTCTGGGTATGAGAGTAGTGTGCAATGAAAATTGTGTAACATTAGACCAAGAGAATTATATAGACCAGTTGTTGGATAAATTTAATATGTTGGATTGTAACACTTCTAATACACCAATGGAATGTAAGTTAAACCTTAGTACAGGCAACAATTGTGATTTTAGCATACCATACCAGCGTCTAATGGGTAGCTTAATGTTTTTGTCCGTTTTAACTCGTCCAGACATATCATTTTCAGTTAGTTACATGAGCCAATTTAACAACTGTTTTACCAAGGAACATTGGCGTCATGCAAAAAGAATTTTGAAATATTTAAAGAAGACTAAACACTATGCTTTAAAATATGATTCAAAGCTTAATTCTGAAATTGTTGGTTATGTTGATGCTGATTGGGGTAGTGATGTCATTGGTAGGAGGTCATATACGGGTTTTGTGTTTGAATTGTCAGGTGCTGCAATATCTTGGGAAAGCAGAAAGCAGAAGGTTGTTGCTCTCTCTAGTACAGAGGCGGAGTATATAGGTATCTCAGAATGCTGTAAAGAAGCTATTTATTTGCAAAATTTACAATGTGAAATAACTGACAGTTCATATACTATTATTCTGTATAATGATAACCAAAGTGCACAAAAATTATTAATGAATCCTGTATTTCATAATAAGTCTAAGCATATAGATATAAGATTTCATTTTTGTAAAGAAATTATTGCTCAAAATTTGATAAATGTTCGGTACCTATGTACAGCTGATATGCCAGCAGATTTACTTACTAAAAGTTTAAATTCAATTAAGCATAAAGCTTTTGTTAATGCTATTGGTTTGGTGGAGAGATGTTAAGGACTTGTATTATTTTTATATAGTGGGGGTGTTAGTTTATATAAAAATAAGATTACACCAAACGCCCTCTAGTGTTAAGTATGTGCAACTAGTGTTTTATTTTCTGTGCCTCAATAAACCGACTTCACTTCTGTCAAGTGAATTCCGCATGTACACGTCGTTTTATTATTCGTCATCATGGATACGTTGAACATTCGAGGAATTATGGAGTATGAGTAGCGGCACGCAACATCAACGACGTTTACGGAACTAACACCATCTGTTATTGGTGTGTTCGTGTCCGTTCTGGAACTTTCGACTTGATAAAAGAACCTCGCGGTCGTCCGAAGACTTTAGTCGACAATGAAGAATTAAAGGCGATTGTCGATGTTGATGATACACAATCTACGGTGCAATTAGCAGCAGCTTCCGATGTTCGCGTCGAAACAATATTGGTCCATTTGCGTCAAAACAAGGTAAAAATGCTTAACAAATGGTTGCCCCTCGAACTCAATGATGGCCAGCGCGAAGTATGCGTCGAGACGTGCCTTGCACTGCTCAACAGACACATAAATGAAGAAATTTTAAACCGCATTGTTACCTGTGATGAAGCATGGATTCTGTTTAATAATCGCAAGTGTTCAGCAAATTGGTTGGATAGTGGTCCAGCACCTAAACAATGCCCTAAACGAAAACTTACCCCTAGACAAGTGATGGTCACTGTTTGGTGCTTTAGCGGCGATGTGATTCATCACAGCTTCTTACCAAACGGGGTGAGCATTACTGCAGATGTGTACTGTGAAGAACTGGAGACAATGATGGAGAAGCTGGTACATCTCCAACCAGCATTGGTCAATCGGTCGTCTCCGCTACTCCTCCACGACAACGCGCGACCTCATACTGCGCAGCAGACGTCTCCAAGTTGCAAGAACTGGGGTTGGAAGCTCTCCGTCATCTGCCCTACTCACCAGACCTTGAGCCTACAGACCTTTTCCAGAATTTGGATAACTACTTGGCGGGAATAAAATTCAATACCCGAGAGGCGGGTCGAAATGCCATTAAAGAATTTGTTGCCTCCCCTCCAGCTGATTTCTTTAAGAAGGCAATAATCAATAAACTGCCTCTGGGTTGGCAAAGATGCATTGATTGCATGGGTTTCTTCGATTAATCGATAATATACTTAAAAAAATCGTAGTTTTGTTTCATACTAAACGGCTTTTTTATAGGTGAAAGGAGAACTCAGGAATACTTCAATGAAGCTACTGATTGGGCCGGTATTTCCTACTGTCTCAGTCACTTTCTAAGTGCAAATCTGTTTAACAAAACACATCAAAAATAATTCACTGTTCCAATTACACATTCGATTGCAACATACTTTTATCACAAAGTATACCTACAATCTAAGATCAACCTTTTTGACGTTTGCCTAATGGTATGGCGAGTAAAGGACCGATAGGTGTAAATTGAACTACTGTTCATGTTCCAACAGGAAGTAATTGCTGTAAATTATCAGACTGACTACAGAACTTGATCAATTGAACTTGAACAATGTAGTATTTTAAAAAACTTTAGTGAAACGAATAACCCCTCAACTGTCAAAAGTTGTTTAGTTCTTCTCAGTTTAGTTCCCATTATATTATCAGATCTCGGTTGAGTCACAATGGGACCACCTCAAGAGTGTAACTTTACGAACAAAACAATACTTTTGAGAATCGGTTCACAATAATTGTATGGACCTCAGGCGTCGTTAGTTTGTTTTGAGTAAAAAGAGACCACAGATTTCCTGTTCAATAGGTTATTGTGTAGGTTACACTAGTTATGTGGGATGCTAATCGTGGATATAGTTATAATCAACTGAACACTAAATATTACAATATTAATCAAATCGACTCGCGAAAGTAGGTCGCGCGACGTTAGCAAAATAAATGCCTGTACGTAAACCGTACGATAATAAATTAACGGACTAATGGCTGAATATGTACTCGTATAAACAATCGAAGTCTGTAATTAGGTAGTTCCAGTCGGTCATCGTTGCGGTACGTCGTGGTTCTGTATAAATGATGACAAGAAACAATCGAATATCAGGTCAATTTGGAGCTCGAACTGGTCAGAAGATTCGAGCCCCGACAGCGAGACCGCGGCGGCGAGCCCGGCCGACGTGGCGGCGTGGTACGAGCGGCGCGCGCGCGCCATCGAGCGGCGCAGCGGGCTGGTGTCGCACGCGCTGGCGCTGCTGCGGCCCGCCGCCGCCGGCCTG